TCCCCCAGGGTTCGACCGAGTAGTGAATACATGGACGATAGAGTTTAGTGTTACGAAAACGATTGGGCCATGAAATCTTGCTGGTCTGCAAGCGATATTCGGATCACGAACAGCTTCAGATGGATTAGGATTGGGCACGGTGACGGCAGGTACCGCAGCGGCACCTGGAACAACTCCTCCGAAAAGCACGTGATAGAGAAGAAATACCAAAGTTAGGGTAGAGCTCGTCATCGTCCTGGAATCAGTCATACAGTCAACGCATAGTCAAACGTAGTGACGAAGGTTACTCACACGGGAATTGAACGAGGCGAAGTTATTTTGTTGTAAGCTTAGGTAGAATTACGGTCTCTTGTGAGAAGTACTATTCGAATGAAAATTGTGATGGTAACGTGGCCATCAAAATCGGTAGAATGATGTCTCGAACTCCTTGTACTGGCAGCTCTTATCATTTTACGATTGCTCATTGTGTGGGCTGCATGTGGTTTCTGTTGTCCAAAACAACAATTTCCGCGTTAGTGTTTGTAGATTGCGTCTAGACGAGACCGAATGCGTTGTTGCTATTCGTCACCAGATATTTCGGTCTCGGTGTCAACCTAGGCTTAATTATGCAGAGCTTGGAACCAGAGAACGTTCTGCATTCACACGTAGCAAAAAAATACCCAAAACATGATTAACGAAATTCACCTCGCTGTGCTTTTGCTAGTCTCCCGTACGGCTGAGAATTGTCTGATATTAGCGTAGGCTGGAGTGTGCGTAGGCTAGCGTAGTCAAATAGATTGTTCAACATCTGCAAGAACAGTGGTGTTGTACTGTCACCATATAGCTAAGCACACGGAAGTCATATTTCCGCTCCTACCTCTTGCCAAATATACACCCGGCGCCATAGCCCTATTTAAGCGTGCTAGACGAGGCGCAACGAATTTTAATCCTACCCGTCTCACAATGAATAAGGCTTGCTGTCTCGTGCTTGCGAGTGAAGGAACTTACACCTCGGATCTGAATCCGGATAAACAAATCGAGGGATTCGTGAAAGACCATAGGTATAAATACAACGGCAATCATCACACTCACCTCCGACAACCACTCCAACCGCCTGAAAATGCTAAGCCGATGCGTTGGCACACCAAAAGCCCCGCTCACTTAGGCTTCACGATATTTTCACGATGTGTTTTTTGTGGTAGTGTTTGTCCACTCTTCCACAAGAAGGAGTGTACCTCAAGCGACTCATGCGGTATCTTCGGTATCCTCTCTGTTATCAGCAAATGACATCTCACGGCCGAGGAAGGGGTTCGCCAAACCAAGCTGTAACATAAGTAAAAAACGCTAATAGAGTTTGGGTGGCCCGCTACGGTAGACATCTCTAGCGCACGATGCCCCCTACAATGTTGGTACAAAGATTATATGAAAACGGAAAATTCGCTACCGGATCGACTTGACTCTAGGAAGGTGGAAGTGCGATTGGGATGAGGGAAGTGAACAGAATCACTAAACAGCCGATGACACTGGAAAACACTGTCTTTACTTCATACATAAAACTTTACTTTATGTATTTATTTGTCATTGTTGCTTAGGTACGAGTAAGTAGGTTCGGTCATAACCTTTGGGTTACATGCCAGGATGAATAAATAAATATGAAAAGAACACTGTCGATCACCGGCCAGTATCGTGGAATACAGGATGAAAGCCTCTGACTGGCCCACGAACCTAACTGTGTACAGGCTATAACAAATACCTTGGAGTATCTCGTACTTATGCAGTCGGTATTTGCACTTGTAAGTTTTATCTGGATTAGTTAGGGAGTTTATCTATCCGCGATCCGCAATACATGGGTCCTTTTCAAGTAATATTGAACAAGGGAGAGTCCCTTCATATCAGCTCTAGTATTTTTAATGCGACTGTCACATTATTTTTCCATGCGGTATCTCTATAATTGTAATTCGTCTAACAAGATACAATCCTTAAGCCAGCACGCGTGCATGTTTCTAGAGCTAGTCTATCGCGATTTTTCCATGGGGACAGCCTAGCAATACAATAGCTTCTTTTTTCCGATTAATTCAGAACTCTAGGCTTATCGCTTCTGGAGAAGAACCAGGGTACTATAATTTTAATCCTCGACACATTCGAACATCCAACGCCCACATTGTCAGTATATAAACTGTTGCATTAATTAACAGATTATCTGATCAGATTACTACGGCAAATATTCCGTCGACGTCCATGAATGCTTCTATGTTTTCTTACGGTCAAAGAAAGCAAAATAATGCAGCAGCGTGATAATTACATGTAAAGCACTAATTCACTGCGAATTCCACAGTTCTGAGAACATATTGCGTATTGCTCGTCGGCAATATAAAACCAGAGCTGGTAAGAAAAAGAACAATATGGTGATAGAGGGATTATCCTGATGTACGCGATGCAGAACAATATCATAGTAAAGCCCGTGAGTATGTATATTGCAAGGAGCACAATTGCACCACCAAGCATGCCTGGAACAGATCATACACCACAATCATAAGATAGATGTAGATGCTATCAGGGAGGAAGCGCACAGCAATGAGATAGAATAAGAACAGTATTACGATAGTCGCCGGGAGCCACTTCCAAAACCAATCAAAGGGAAACCATTTCATCGAAAACCTGGCCACCGCGTTGACTGATAGTCCGATGATATTCCAAAACGGTTTCCGACAGCTGGAGATCATTGGATAGATGTGGAAGGTTAGCAAAATTCAAGTCGGAGGTCAGGTTTGAACTTGTTTGGCAATGAAGGCAAGTATTTCGTAAATGATTGATTTCTATCATACCTTTGACTTAACGTTCTTCAAGGTCGGGTTTTTGTTTGGTAGTAGTTGCTTTTTAGAATTAGCAGTGTCTATCATGACTTCATTTAACCCGCACGACAATAAATAAAGCATATTAGCCGCAATCGTGAGAGGAATTCTAGAGTCTCGAAAGCTGCAAATTTTAACGAACTGTAGTGACGATGGTATCTCCAACAACCCTCGAAATCGAATACCATGTCTAACACTCCCTAGAGAGGACAGTGCGATATCGATAAACAGTTGTGGAAATGGTCAATGATGCAATGGCAATTGTATGTATAGGTCTGCAAAGAGGGAACCTAACCATGCCTCGAGCTCTCGCCGGCTAACCGACCTCATTTCAACCGGATCCGCCCAATGCGCCACCGCAACCTGATATTTTGGAAAGGCATTGCAGTATCGAAGGACTGCCACGGAATGTCTAGCTTCTCAGGCGGTTGCTCACAGTGCCTGAAATCGCTTAGTCAGTGCAGCGTAGCCTGGTGGCAAAGGGCGAGCGATTAGCTAGCCGGTAAAGAAGCTAGTCAAGCGGGCTGAACTGACCAGCTGGTTCTATCAGCGGAAGCTATGTAATCTAATCAATTTCGTATATATGTATGTACATGAGCCCATTGCATTCACCGCCCAAGGTGGTAAATTGCATTCATCATTTTTAAGACCTCCTGCCCACGCTCGAAACATATTAAGTCATTATCAACCAGCGACTTCAAAAACTCTTGAGCTTCGACTATATCATCCTCCAAAGAAAGGCGGTGGTCAGAGAGCTGAAGCTTTGAACTACTGAATACCCGCTCCACTTCTGCAGAAGTTCTCAATTGAGTCGGAGCGCAAAGATTGCTGTGCAGGACTTGGTGATCGTGGGGAGAGGACACTGGGGTCATCCTGAGTTGAGGGCGGTGGACTCGGAGTTGTATCAAGAAAAAGTGAAAATCGTGACAGGTCATCAAATTGAGTGGATGGAAGCGAGGACAAATTAGAGGAGCTGGATACGCTGGACATGATGCAGTTATTGTGTGTAGACTCGCTGGGTGTGCTTCTTTACAGTTTAAATGTCGCTGCTTAAATGCATATCAGTTGAGGGAAGTGACAATTTACCATGTCATATGAGCCGCAAAAACCTTATTTCCCCTACGTCACTAGAGCACTACAATGCACTGGTGATGCAAGCCCGTGGTAGTCTAGTCCTCCTTTGGTTAGTGCACGATGTCGTCGTCCACGGAACGTCAGTGTCCGCTCAAACGGTAGCCGCGCTGGGCGACTTCAAGCCCTGGTTGCTCAAGGGAGGAGAAAAGTGGCAAACATACCCAGGACTAAGATCAAGTCAATTACACAAAACAGTGGCGAGATGCAGAGGCTGCGAGAGTTTTTACACAGGAAGTTGTAGGACCGAGCCGAAGGTTGGGTCATGGGCAACAATGCCAGAGCGAGAAGTGAGTAAAATAGTGAATATGGCGACACAGTGGTGTCGCTTGACTGAGCGTGAGATTCTTGCAATTGGTAGAATCCATCGGTTCAGTTTAGGATTGGGACTACCGACGTAGTGTTTAAGATCATATCAGAGTGTCGTTGTCATAAGCTTCAGATATGACTTCGGGCCTTGTGCTAAATGTGGGCACTCTCAAGGCCAGAAAGGGTATGAGTGGTCGGTGGGCTTTGATCGATTAAATCCACAACATTGACGGATAGTGGCATACTTTGAAATTGCTTTGATGGTGTGGTGGGCTGAAAACATAAATGAAAGAGCTGAAAGTTTTGCGAGAAGCACCAATCAACAAACATGCATGTGGGATAAGCCCATTGAAACTGCCATATCCAGTCCCAATAGGATGGCGGAGCTCGAGAGGGAAAGTATTGCGCTGCAGGGCGTTGTCGTGAACGTACCTTTTTATTACCTCTAGCACCGGACGGTTTCGAATCGACATTATGCGTTATGTGGCTATGAGGGCGCCACCAAGCAGGTATTTTTTTAGCGGTTGCAACAGCGAAAGATAGTTTAAAATGTATAACATTGCCTTATGCATAAACTCAGGGGGCCAGAGGCCGACAGCAGGCTGTCAGCGAGTGGTTGGAATTTGGGAGATGGAATAGCCTGGGATTCATATAGGGAAACCGAGGGTCATTGTTCATTCGGACCCTTGGCCATGGACGCAGGAAAGCAGGTACGAAGTGCCATATTACGCTTCCATGGTGAAATGGTATCATACTTGCCTTCCAAGCAAGTGGCTCGGGTTCGATTCCCGATGGATGCATCGTCATTAAGCGGGGACGAAGGGTAGCGGGTGGGAGCTCTGCCATCTAGCCGGCTTGCCCAGAGGCGGAGGTGATATTGGGTCCTGTCGTACTCTATGTAGAGTGAATACAGTATGATTGGTCTCGCTAGCTATTCCGCAATATCCAATGTTGTATGTAGTTCGTAATTCATTCACGGATATATTGGAGGGTGAAGATCACACTTTTAAGGGGATTGTGGGGAGACTAGAAAGGACAACGGTAATAATATACAATCAGACCTTGCTGTACCAGAACGCGATGTAGCGGATACCTTGCAGTACCGGATTCTCTAGGAGCAGAAATCCTTCCACCAGCAAAAACCTACCTGCTGTACCGGATTTAGTCCTATAACAAACCGCATAGGATAGTCAAAAATATTAATCTCTGCTCCCATACAAATAATTTTTGCTATACCAGATGCCAAGGTAACTTATACTGGATTGGGTATGTGAGCCACCATAAATCCTTTAGTGATGGGCTATTTTCGGTCTTGATATGCCATACTTGGTGACTACATGTGACTTGATCTCTCTAAAGTGCTGAGTAATTGATTTTTATAACGGATCCTTGCTGTACCGGACGAAAAAGGCTGGATTGTTGGTGTCCGTTATACCAAGGTCAAACTGTAATAGAATGGAATGGCAAGAAATTCAAGCGTCGCAACAGGGACCATCAGAAGGGCGAGAATTGGCCACGTTGCCAATATCAATAATTCAGCAAGATCAGTTGGCACCGGTGGGTAATTCTTCCGACAAAGCTGGACAAGCATCAGCAAAATTACAATGCCGTTTGACAGACTAATATCGTACCCGAGGCCAGGCCTCCTCCTCGAGCATGCTCAGGCTGAGGATGCCTATCCTCGGGGTGTTCTCCGGCTTCAGGTGCCAAGGAACCACCTAGCCAAATTCCCGGATCAACAATTAGAAGACTAACGCTTTATTTGCAATTGCAATAAATCGCGAAACTGAGCGGACCTCAATGTTACATTTATACAAGGACCTCATACAAGTTGGCTGTAACTAGCACTGATGGCGAGACACTTGGTGTTGTATATATCTCGAGTCTTTCTCCTTCTCTCTTTTCTCTGTACCTTAGTCTCTACACACGGTTCTCCCATTCCACTCAAGATATAGGTGATGCGAGGGACCATCTGTAGAACAAAAGATAAGAGGAAGAGCAGGTTTCGAGCCTATAACCTTCAGCTTGGAGTTAGTTCTAGCACCATGTTGACTGGGAAGTTCTACCGCCTAGTCTCCGGGGTGGGTTTGGTCGCATGCGCATGGTCTCCTTATGGCGGATGTTCCTCGGTGCTCCTAATATTGCCTGGGGATTTTATTCTCTAACCAGTTCTCTCTGGCACGAGAGTTTGAGAATGGTAGACAGTAAACTTTAACACGGTACTACTCAAAAAACGTTACCTGGGCGCACGGACCCACCTGCCCAACCGTGAACACACCCTCGAATTTGCTGGGAATAGATTGCCATGACCGATTCGCCGGAGAGACTGTGTCGAGGATATCATCTCGTACTAAGAGACAGAATTTGGGTTAGCCAGGTGAGGGAATTGTCCGCCCGAGGCCAGGGGTACCCGCGGCAAGATTACATATTGAGAATCGGATTTCGACTATTAACAAGTGATTTGTGTAGAAAAGAGGTGAGGTTCCAGCTATATTGGCACGGCCTCATCGCATTTTGACAATCATATCATCACTACAGGATCGTATATTTGCCGAAAACAGTGAAAGAGAAAAAACAACCGATCGCATAGCACGGCTACTTAATACTCATGTTTTCGAAAAGTTAATGTGATTACAAGGTTAAGTTTACATACTCCGTGCACCAGAAATGAAGACGTGTAAATGCCAGAATTTTACGTTCAAGCGAGCTCTAATACATCAAAATGGTACTCATGGCATCTTCAAGAAATGAACGACATAGGGATTCTTTTGAGCTGGTGCCCGAAATTGTACCCCTAACCTTGAGATCACATGACTCGCGGACTTTTCGGCAACATGCATGTATTCGCTGAATTCAAGGCGCCCACGACTCCATATCTCCCCCACCAAACCTATTTAATAATACGTCATTGACTCCAACATACCACAGACCCGAAGAAACCAAAGTAGCAATCATAAAACTAACATAAGCATCTCGATCATGACACAGTCCGTCCGTCCTTTCCAATACACTAAACCACGACGCGCTAAGAACCAACAGTACTTCTACCAGCGGCTTGACCCATACAGGAACGTCCCAATAAGCATACACGACCGAAGCACATGCACAGAGAGCCGTCAACACAATGCAGAATGTCGACTGAATCCAGGGATAAACATCTCGAGTCTTCAATGGCGCATCTTTACCCCCCTTGGTAACAATTGCGTCGTCGTCGTAGTGATATTGCAAAACGGTGCGCGAGAGGTATTCCGGAATTGTGTTAGCCATGGACGGAGATCGGAAAATACTCATCGCAGCGATTATTGCAGTGTTATCGTCCGCGGAGTCGTTCAGTGTATGTGCCAGCAGATGTAATTCGTCAGGAGTCCTTCCCAACCGCATCATCGGCTCAACAGGAACCGTCACTCGTCTTGGCCCGATAGTGTACCGAGTATACCGTTGAGTATGAGAGGTTCCAACCAGCCGTCCAGTAGCTCTTCGTTTCACTCCCACAGCAGCCCGGAAAGAAAGTGCAATTGCGACACAGAGCGACAATCCAATCATTCCGTGACCAACAACGCCACTAGGCCGCAGTTTATCCGCGTTCCAAGAACCATATGCCCAACCCGCACAGATAATAGAAACTTCCAGGATAGGAACTGCTATGCCCCATATCAATTGCCAAGAAGAAACTCCACCGGCCACTGCATCCCCAGCTACGTGCCAGCTCCCCGTCAGGGTTTCCCACTCCAACGTAACTTTATCCCACGCCAGAAACACCATAAGCTCTTCGTCACCAAGTATAGCGCTAGTCCCTAGAATTTTCAGCGCCGCCCGAACCGCCATCAACCACACCGCTAATCCTCTCCCTGTCGCCGCCGCCATGAGTCCCACCGCAACAGCCACAGCAAGATGTAACAACGAGTACATCAACTTTGCGCAATCCATGACTATCGCTCTCGAGTTACCGAATTGCCCGATCCTAAGTCGCAGCTGGACAAATGGAACATTAACTTCGCGGTTTTGGAAATGGGTGAAGAATCTCGCCGGTGAGATATCTTGTCGCACCTCCTCCGGAACCTCATTGACGTAGGCACATCGTGACGGATGACACTCCCGCGATGCAACAAGGTCTCGAATAACCTGATTGATTGACCTTCCACTAAAAAATGATGTTGTTGCGTTAGCGAGGAGTTGCGGGGTGACCGTAAAGTATGGCTGCCGGGTATCCGCGATCCGGGTTGTGCTGAATTCACTGCATCGCGGACTCTGAATCCAGTGTGCTCTCGGCGGTACCTGCGATGACTCGCTCAGTTTCCGTCCGCAGACTAAGACCTCCCAGCTGGTTCCGAATGCAATCGATTCGAGCTGCATGGCGACTTGCAATGTGAGTCTTCGTAGATCCCGTGGCGTCTGCCAACTGATAACCACAACGTCCATACGGGTTTGACCATTCTCCCAACCAGAAAACATTGTCCAGTCGCCTTGGCTGAGGGTTCGGTAAAGATGGATGCAGTTTCGTGCTACTGAGACCCTTGCAGCGATGGCTGATATTCCGTTGGTTACGACGTGTGGTCGGTTTGAAGAGTTTACGCCGACATAGATGGAACCCCAGAAGGCCACAATTTGAGATGACCATGGTGCTGTAGAAGGTCCTGTAATACCTTGAGCGTTTGCCGACTCGACTAAGGAACTCAGAAGGAGTGCTGGAATGTAACGAGCTCGAGCTGTGACTCGGGAGAGACGAGTGTGAGGAGACATAGCGTTAGCGTTTTCAAAATCCGAGATATGCTTCAGATGGATGGCGGACAACGGTATGCAGTTAAATAACTCAGCGGATGCCAACCCCTGAATATATATCGTTCGCTTTACTGCAGTCTGCTTGTTTCCTACGGCGGCTCTTTAATCTAATCGTGCAGTGTTGTGCGACCCATACGCCGTTGGGCATGGTAGGCACCGGACCTGATTTACCAGCTCCAACGAAGTGAAAGGGTGTATCGAGTCATTTTCCGGGGCGCCATAAAGCCCAAGGCAGGATATGGGGGTTATAAGGCGAGATAGAGGACAGGTTTACCGGACCTCTCTGTTCAAAAACTGCGCAGTCTCTAACCAAATTGGTGATAGCCAAAAAGTAGGTGGGGAAGGACCTAACTAGCGGGGCGGAACGAAATGTAATAGAGTACTGTTCTTAACTATCAGTGCCAGGGAATCACTTTAAGTTCAGGACTTACCAGTTTTGTCGCTCAATGAGACAATAGATTCCAGGAATTTCCCAGCTGCTCTCTTCTCTAAACCCCACCATTCAACTGAGTGAGGTTTGGTGTGGTGGGAGGATTTATTAACTGGATACTATATACTGAGTACTGCCGCCAGAACTACATACCACAAAGATGTAACACACCCACACACTGGCGCCAGGGGTCAAACAACCGGTAGCGCCAGGCTTGCAGAGGAGGATCGTTCGGCACTCAACCTGGCATCCACTAAGAGCTATGTTACAACTTACAGGTCATAGTAAGGTATTTTGTCTCGTTCTTTCCGGATTCCCTGGTCAGTGTTGTTTTTCTCGGCTTTAATCCCGGGGGACAACCGGTCATTACCGTTGGTGACTGACTTACTACGGTGGAGATACATACTGGTGGTAGTCCATGGCATGATGCCATCGCTGATGGGTAGGGCGGTGCACTTGAGGAACTGAGATTAGGACCAAGTGGGTCTGCGGTTCCATTGAGGAACGAAAGTATCAGCGATATCTAACGCGCAAAGAGACTCGCGGTAGTTGATGTGAAGTTCAAAAGGTGAAACAGCCGATAGTGTGCAT